AAGGGTCCTCAGGGCTTCCGCGGCAGAGATGGGTCATCAGGGCGCCCGCGGAGCCCCACGACAGCCCAGAGTGGCCGCATAAGCCCCCAAGGCGACCGGGCGCCCGAGACCGCCACACGAGGCTCCGAAGATCACCCCCAAGACGAGCCCAAAAGGGCATCACAGCGGCCAAAGAGAGCCCCAAGGCAGCCCCACGCGGCCCCGAGACGAATGGGTGTGTGAGACGAGTGGCGTCTGCATGATCAGGCTGCTCTTGTTTGGGCCCCTCGATCCGTCCGTGTACTTCCACATGGGCACTGACTCGGCATCGCTCGGGCGTCTGATTTTTTTCTCGGCGAGGACCATCGAGGAGCATCTTGGAGTTTTGCCTGAAGGAAAAAATAGCTTGGCGAAGGACCCAACCATATGCGGCTGCGAATAACGAAGGACATTCCCTTCTCATCATAGGCAGCGCGCCGCGAGAAGGATGGAGCCTTGGGCAACGCGGATGGGAACCCCGAAACGTGTGCGGGTTGTGCCGAAGTGGGCTGGGGGACGCATGCGGGCGCTGCCACTGGGGCCTTCGGCGAAGCTCCCTATGGGCCACGAAACATGTGAGGGGTGTGTCAAAATAGTCCGAGGAACGCATACGAACCCTGCAACTGAGGCCATCGGTGGAGCTCTAGATGGGGCCGCGAGGCGTGTGAGCGGCGTGCCGAAATTGAGGCGACGCCGCCATGCGAACCCTGCCGCTGAGGCCTGCAGTGGAGCTCCCTATGAGGCCACGAAACGTGTGAGGGGCGTGCCGAACTGGAGCGGGGCCGCCATGCGAACCCTGCCACTGGGACCTTCGGTGTAGCTCCCTATACGGCCACGAGACGTGTGAGGGGTGTGCCAAAAAGAGCGGCGGGGACGCATGCAAACTGTACCACTGGGGCCTTCGGTGTAGCTTCCTATGGGGCCACGAACCGTGTGAGGGGTGTGCCGAAATGGATGGTGGGGACGCATCTGTGCCATCGTGACCGTCGGAGGGGCTCCCAATGGGGCCACGAACCGTGTGAGGGGTGTGCCGCAATGGGTGGCGGGGATGCATGTAAATTGTGCCGCTGGGGCTTTCTGTGGAGCTTCCTATGGGGCCGCGAACCGTGTGAGGGGTGTGCCGCAATGGGTGGCGGGGACGCATGTAAACTGTGCCACTGGGGCTTTCGGAGGAGCTCCCTATGGGGCCACGAACCGCGTGAGGAGTGTGCCGAGATAGGCGGCGGTGACGCATGTAATTTGTGCCACTGGTGCCTTCGGCGGAGCTCCCTATGGGACCACGAACCGTCTGAGGGATGTGCCGCAATTGGTTTCGGGAGCGCACGTGAACTGTGCCACTGGGGCTGTCGGTTGATCTTCCTATGGGGTCACGAACTGCGTGAGGGGTGTGCCGTAATGGGTGGCGGGGACGCATGTAAATTGTATCACTGGGGCCGTCGGTGGAGCTCCCTAGTACTGGCTGGCGGGGACGCATGTAAACTGTGCCACTTGGGGCCTTCGGAGGAGCTCCCGATGTGGCCACGAACCGCCTGATGGGTGTGCCGTGATGGGTTTCGGGGACGCATGTAAACCGCACCACTACGTGCGAGGGGTGTGCCGAAATGGGCGGCGGGAGCGCGTGTAAACTGTAGCAGTGGGGTGTTCGGTGGAGCTCCTTGTGGGGCCACGAACCGTGTGAGGGTTGTGCCGAAATGGGTGGCGGGGACGCATGTCAATTGTGCCACTGGGGCCTTCGGTGGAGCTTCCTATGTGGCCACGAACCGTGTGAGGGGTGTGCCGAACTGGGTGGCGGGGGCGCATGTAAATTGTGCCACTGAGGCCTTCGGTGGGGCTCACTATGGGGCCACGAGCCGCGAGAGGAATATGCCGTTGCAGGGACGCATGCAAATTGTACCACTGGGGCCTTCGGTGTAGCTCCCTATGGGGCCACGAACCGTGTTAGGGGTGTGCCGAATTGAGTGGTGGGGACGCATGTAAATTGTGCCACTGGGGCCTTCGGTGAAGCTCCCGATGGGGCCACGGTACGTTTGAGGGGTGTGCCAAAAAGAGCGGCGGGGACGCATGGAATGTGTGCCATCGGGGCCTTCGGTGGAGCTTCCGATGAGGCCACGAACCGTGTGAGGGATGTGTGGCAATGGGCGGCGGGAGCGCAGGTAAATTGTACCACTGGGGCCTTCGGCGGAACTTCCTATGGGGCCACGAACCGTGTGAGGGGTGTGCCGCAATGGGCGGCGGGGACGCGTGTAAACTGTACCACTGGGGCCCCAAGAGGGTGTGCCGAAGTGGGCGGCGGGGACGCGTGTAAACTGCCACTGGGGCATTCGGTGGAGCTCCATATGGGACCACGAACCGTGAGGGGTGTGCGGCAATGGGTGGCGGGGACGCATGTAAGCTGTACCATTGGGGCCTTCGGTGGAGCTCCCTATGGGGCCACGAACCGTGTGAGGGGTGTGCCGATATGGACATGCGGCGAACCAAGTCACGACGCTGACGATGGTAATGTTGATGACGCCGATGACGGCGATGGTGACCACGATGGAGATTACGAGAACGATGGTGGTGACGGTATCGGTATCGGTACCGGTATCGGTAAGAGTCGACTCGTTGCCGGTGACTGAGGACCCCAAACGGGTCACTGAGAAGATTGATGGGCGAAAGGGTCCCACCCATTGTTGGGGGCCGATCGAAGAGGGAGCCAGGCCTGGGGTCCAAGCCGAGGGCAGCGCGTTGGCGCTGCCACCTACGCTCCCTGGCGGCCTCCCTCTTCTTTTGAATTAAGGCCATGAGCTCAGGAGAAAGCACAGGGACAGAAGGAGGAGCAGGGGGCGGAAGGGAAGGGGCGAGGGCTGGGGCCCCCGGTGCGGCCTCGGCCGCCATGAAGGCGGCAGTGTCGAAGTCGGAGGCGTCAAGGTCGTAGGCGATCGTGTGTTCCTCCTCTCCTTCCTGCAGGCGGTCCCTCTCCACAGGAGGGTGGGTGGGGGCTGGTCTGTCGAAGCGAGGATCGTGCGTCTTCTTTTTCTGGTCAAAAACCGAGAAATCCTGAGCAATATCAGCACCTTGTTGGACATAAGGATCCAGGGCCTGGAAGAACGAACACAACTCCGCTGGAATGTCAGACGTGTCTTGCTCAATACCTGAAGCTCTCCATGCTCAGTCCAGGTATGTATGCACAGCACGGGCGATAGTTTCGCACATGGCGGGGGGGTATCTCTTCTTGGGGGCTGTCCACCAGGTACCGTCGGTCCCTCTCCCCTGCAGAATTCTTTGATGTCCCCGTGGGTGCGTACATCTCCCCTCACATCCAAGACCTCGAATCGTGTCCCTGAGCCCTGGGAGGCGAACAGCAAGCAGCGTAGTTGGGGCTTTGCTGATGTGGCCGAAAACGCATTGATCGAAGCTGGTCATCG